AAGGGAGCGAAATCAGACGTGCTCGTTTTCTCAGACGCTTGCAGAAAAAGGCTTCCCAAAACAAAGTTACTGGGTTAATCTTTTTCATGTTTCATTGGTTGGTAGATGCACCGGGGACCTGATTATAGCACTTAAAACCTGGAAAAGTCAGATTTTCATGATATGTCACCTTTAAGGCTCATTCACACCAAGGACTATAACAATAACATTTTAATAATTGTTCTAGTCCTATGAGAATAAGAAAGTCCACAACACTGCTATAGTGATAACAACACAGAGGAACGATACTGTTGGAATCACTTTCTGAACAAATTTTTCCAGCTGATGAACAATAGAAACAACAAGCCAATCAGGAACCACCCAACTTTAAAGAAGTTGAGCATTTAAAGTGGCAGAAGACCATTACCAGATATACAAATAAACATACAAAGCAATATTACAGATAGAAGACTTGAAGTTAAAATGTCTTAATGATGGATTTGTTTATTACAAATATGCAGCTTTTTGCTTCACAAGATGTTAATTGATGGACTGGGGTGGTGTGGATTACTTGTGGATTATTGTGATGTTTTTATCAGCTGTTTGGACACTCATTCTGACGGCATCCATTCACTGCAGAGCATCCATTGGTGAGCAAGTAGATGCTAAAGTAGCAAGTAGGTGAGCAAGTAGATGCTTCGCTAAAATGCTACATTTCTCCAAATCTTATATGATGAAAAAACAAACTCATCTCCATCTCGCATGGCCTGATGGTGAACTATTCCTTAATTCCTTAACTACTCCTTATTGAAGGAACCAAAAATGGTTCTTCTAAGGCATCGCTGCAAAAATCCCCTTTTGGAACCTCTGTGTATAGTGATTTGTGCCCATTTATAATACTGACTGATTGTATTGCTGTTTATTTAAGATACTATACTAACTCACCAATGGGGAACACGCACTGGAAATGTTACTCACAGATGGATGAGTCACTCCAGATGTTTTAAAACCTCTGGCCAAAATCAGCATCCTGAGTGGAGGCTTTGTAAAAAAAAAAAGATTTAAAAAAAAAATTGAGGGAACTTTACTACTACAACCATCACAGCCTGTGGGAATGCTGGGATGTCATCAACGGACATGACTTTTCTGAGTGTTATAAAACTACAGACCTTGAGTAATGAGAGCCTTTGTGATAAACGTGCATTCACAGGTATTAACATATGGAGAAGTGTGAACACTTTGCTTCCCAACAAACCTATACGATTTCAAATGGTCTTTAAATTTGACCTCTGAGGTCAAACTACTTGACCTGGAAAACACAACACCTTTAAATGGGTCTTAAAACTCAGGGTGGTTCATACACCATTACTAAAACTACAAGTGACATTACCAAACCTCTTAGACCAAGACAGCAGGACTTCATTGTGCTCTTACGCATTCGGCCTACCATGAGGGACCCATTGTTGGGACCCTTGGGCCATGCGGACTACCTTCACCCCCACCCAATGCCTACTCATCACACATTAAAAACAGCTTGATTTCCTCACCCCAGGCCAGGGACCAATTTGGCCAATTATCAAAGGCAGACAGGAAGACTTTTGTTTGAAGTGAGAGAGAACGAGAAAGACGGTCCCCTTTAAAGTGACTCCACAGGGGAGGGGGAAAAGTGGAGAGAAACTATAGGACAAACATTTCCAAAGTGGGTCGGGGGATTCTTTTCAACTTTGTGTTAATTAAAGGGACAGCGGCAGGCCAGCGGGGCGGAGCGCTGGTTAACATGAGACTTTGAGGAAAACGAAGGGGTGGATGGACCAGGTGGGAAACTGCTGTCACGAACGGGAGAGAAACACTCCTTCTATAGTTCACACAACAATGCTTATGTCAAGAGTGTGTGATGGGGGCTTTTGGAGCTCAGACCCATTAAAGGTCCAGAAGAAACAGAACCCAATACACAAGCTTAAAGCAATTGAAAGTCCTAACACACTGACCATCATTGTTCTACACATTCATTTGAACAAACCCAAGACTCATGCATAATTTGATTTACACAAGTAGGACATGTTTCCAGACCAACATCCATCCATGCTACCAAAAACCCTGTCGGTCGGCTAAAGCATAAACCTATGGCTTTAGTTAAGTTAAAAATGTTCCCTATGGTCCTACATTGAAAATCTTAAGAAAAGTAGAATATTTTCCTTCAGTCCTGTATATAATGTTTCATTTAATTTAAGAGATCATTTATGAATTTAAAAGTTATTTTATCTTAAGCTGCACTGTGCTTAATAAAAGCTTTGATTGCTATAGAATCAGGCTCTTGTTGTTGAGCAATTTCTAATAAAATAAATAACAAAATAAAATAAAATAATTAAAGTCTTATCTTTCAGGTAAAATAGAGATATTGATTTTTCATGCTAGAAATTAGTTTGACCAACCTGGAAAATACAGTCGAATTTGCTGCTGAAGAAGCAGAATGAATCATATCATCGATGTATGCATGATTACATTGTTTCAAGCATTCCTGTAGCTCACACATTAGATCATGGTGCTCACAACGCCAAGGTCATAGGTTTGATTCTCAGGGAATGCATGAACTGGTAAAATGTAAAACTTGAATGAATAGATAAGAGTTGTGTTTGCTTGACAAGAAAAAAGCTTCTAGGGTGTTGCCAAGATGGCCACCAAGTGAACTGACTTGCCTTAAAGGGACCCTGAATGAATTCCTTCAGCCCAGGTTGTGGGAAAAAACATCATTAACCACATGAAACTCTAACAGCTGGTCTGAAATGACTGAGAACTGAGATCCAGCTACATACTTTTCATATTCACAGTCAGCAGGACCATAATGACATGATATACGGTCACATATAATCGGTCTAATCTAATATCTTAGATGTGTCAGCACTGGTCTAATTACCATATGTGTCAGTTGTGCCGAACACACTGGACAGACAGTAGCAGCTGTGTTTTCCAGCCTCGGCCAGAGTCCATGCATGGCTCTCTTGGGTACAGGGATGCCGGGGTGTCCTTCTGTTCCCACAACATCACTCCGCAACTATTCCTCTACCCACCTCCCCATTATGGATACTTTGTCTGAGTGAACATAATAATAACAGCAGTATGAATTTCATCACACTCGAAATATAGGTTATATATCAACATCTGGAGTAGATTGTACTCAACAGACACTAAACACTCTTAAAATTACCAAAATGCACATCCCTACCTCTGAAAATATACTCTTGCATATTAATTTTTTTTTATAATTTATTATCCTAAATGAGGCTTAGTTTATGTGTTTATCCTCTAATGGTGAAGAGTAAATTCATTATGATGCAGTGCAGGGATGTTCTACCTTCACATATAAACTTGCAATCCATTGCGAACGAAAGGAAGGTCACATCAGGTTTTGACGATTGTGCAACTCTAGGAAACTGGATCTTATTCGGCCCACGAACTAGATACAACACAGCTGGAGATATGCTCATCCCAGCCCCACTTATCATCCTAAAGTCAACATCTACAGCACCAGCCAGTAACCACAGGGCCATACAAAGTGCAATGTAATGCACCATCGTCCCACTAAAACCTTTTTTTGGGAACTACACAGCCTTACAAGGTCACAAATCGAGGGGTTAAAAAAGAAACTTTGATTTATTCCTCAAGGGAAGTCGCTGGATAAAGGGATTTGTTACAAACTGCACACACAAAGCCCCATAAAATGTTACAGGCTCACGTCACAGACATAGTTAATTTTAAGTGCAGTCCTCCTCTCTCTCCAGCCCTTGGGTCTACAGTCTAATGCCGGGCCGTGGTAGAATGCAGCAGGTGGTTATCTTAGACCTCCTATTTTGCATGATGGGAAGGCAGCTGAACTCAAGCCAATTTAAGTCCTGTTTGAGAGCCAGACATCTCATTGCCACATCAGTCAGCATGTTAATAAAGAAAGTATGCCAAAAATGAGGGTCAGTTTAAACGAAGGATGAGCAGGAGGCCATATACAGGGAGACTATGCAAGGAAGGTTTTATGCAGATTTTCCACAAAAATTGAGAAGACGACAACAAAATAAACAAAAGATAGGCTTTTCCCACACTTGAAACTGTTAAGCCAGTGTAATTCCAAACCCTGAGTTTACATAATCCTGGGTTATCTTGTTACATGTTACACATAGTTCACCCTGGGATAGTAATTAGTCGTGGATAGCTAGGTTTTAGTTCTGAAGTCAGGTTCTGACAATTCTGAAAAAAGTCTCAGAATTTTTCTCTTAATCTTTTGCATTTTAATGAGTCGAAAAAGTCTTAAATAACTGCTTGTCAAATGGTGTAAATGTCACCATGCAAATAAGCTTCTGAAACACTCTACAAAACCAAAGCTAATACAAAAATAAATAAAAAAATAAAATACAAGATGGGCATGTAAATGTTACTGTAACTGCACAATGCTCATGAATAATTCATTAGGCAAGAATTGAGGCACTTTATGATTGGTTGTCTGTTGCTAAACAAAATATTTAGCTTTGCAATGCAGGGTTAAAAGATATGCTAACCCTCTTTAAAAAAAAATACTTAAAAGTAGTCTTAACCCAGGGTTATGAGACCTACACAAGACTACAAATTCTAAAAATACAGATCCTTTCAAACTCATTCTTATATTTCCCCGCTAAAAAATAGAAATCTAGCTTAAACAAGCTAGCCATTTCCATGCCAGTACAAACTGGTTTATATTGGTTACTACTGGTCTAGCAGATGGACCAGGATAATTATGGTGGTCACACCAGCATAGCTTAGTTGGTGAAGCAAGTTAGCCATGGACATTTTACTATGCTAGTTAATCTAGTTTATAAATGCATCATAAATCTTACTGTGAACAATTAATCTGTGCATATGTTTCTTTTTTTAAATTTGAATTTGTAATGTTTAATCAAAATGACATAACTGGACCTTCTGGTGCAAACGACAGACTTCAATCTGGTGATGAATGCTGGACTTCTTCAAATTTAGTCTGTTTAAACCCCACCCCCTGCAAGCTCACATTCACATGGCACGTCTCAACATCCAATCAACACAAGATGCATAGAACCAAGTCTCCACCTTACATTTTTTTTCTTTTTTCGATAATCTGTTACACTCAAGATATATGTCACAATACAGAAGAAAAAATCAGTCCCTACTTCCATTTTAAACCAGACTGGGACATCAGCACATTCACATCAAAACCACAAAATGTGACAACATTGACTAGCAATTTTGGTGTTTTCAGCAGGGTATTCATACCCTGTAACTGTGCTGGCAGCCTACCTCCGAGAGGGACGATCTTGTTGGTAATGGCATATCGAAGGATGTGCTCCTCTTTGACGTACATAACAAATACGCGTTCCATTCTCAGTTCCTGCGTCTCCAGTCTGCTGCGGGGCCCGTGATTGCAGTCCCTGTACGTGATGTTCTGTTTGACCTGGAAAGTGTGGGTCTCTGCTCCGTTTTCAGCGGAGACGACTGTAAACTCACGCACGGATGTGGAGGTAATCACTGAGAACAGGAAAAAGGCAAGAGTTTAGAGGAAAGCAATTCACAACAAACTTTGGGCTTTAATTCTAGACCCAAAATCCCACAGGATTTGATTGTTAAGCAACCTCATGTTCTGCAACATGAGAAATGGCTTTTATTTAGGGTGCATCAAGATCAGACACAGCTTCCTCTGAAAGGATATAGAGGAGACGGGAGACGTCACAAGATCTATTTTTTTAGCTCACATTTTCTTTTCCTTTTCCTTTTTTTTTATAGCTAAGCCATTTTCAAACACAACTTCTTATACCATTTAGAATTTTGGGGTTGATAACATTTCATTATGTTTTTGAAAGAAGTCTTTTGTGCACACCAAGGCTGCATTTATTTGATCAAAAATACAGTAAAACAGTAATATTATGAAATATTATTAAAATGTAAAATAAATGTTTTCTATTTTAATACATTTTAAAGTGTCATTTCTTTCTGTGATGACAAAGCTGAATTTTCAGCATCATTACTCCAGTCCTCAGTGTCACATGATCCTTCGGAAATCATTCTAATATGCTGATTTGGTGCTCAAGAAACATTTCTTATCATTATCGCTCTTGAAAACAGTTTTGCTGCTTAATATTTTTGAGGAAACTGCGATACTTTTTTTCAGGATTCTTTTTCAAGTTCAAAAGAATAGCATTTATTTGAAACAGAAATCTTAAATAACATTATAAATGTCTGAACTGTAATTTTTTTATCAATTAATTTAAAAATTCTTACTGATCCTTAACTTAACTGAATAATTGTGATTAATGCTATATTGTGTAATTAATTAGATTACACATTTAAGTCTAATCTGGTAAATATAAAACAGAATATTAAAAAAGAATCACTCAAGAAATATGGATCAGGGTCGAGAAACAAAGATGGACAGATATATTTATTCCCCAATTTCTTCCTCCAGAACTTACATGAAGGATAATAATGGTAGGTGTCCTTAAATGGCTCCATCTGCACTGTTGCACCAGGAAGGATGAAGGGAACACTGCCCTGTAAATGAGTGTCCACGTTGAGGTAGTTCTGGTTATCCAAACCCGTAGCTGTCTGGACGATGCTGAGACGCTGGTTACCGGGATAGAAGGTCACATCGGCACGGTGAGTGAATTCGGCACCTGTAAAACCGAAATGTTAGTTTTCGACATGATTAAAAGTCATTAAAGAGCAGTGTTGTGGCTCACTCATTTTACTGCAAACGAATATCACAAAATAAGATCCAGATGGGGGCTGTGACCCTTATAATAGTGCTTGATGAATATTTAGGTGTTTTTCAAAAAGAAAAAACAGGCTTTTTCATGCAAAGTGAAAACATATTATTATATAATGGAGCACCTGACTTAAATTAGGGGAAGGGCTTGAGTAGATGTTGTACAGGCGTTGAATATCAGACTAGCAAAGCCCTTGTGGGACTCTATTAGTGAGAACAAAACCTCTAAGCCTAAAATCTCTCAGCAGGAGGCCAAATGTTTAACAAACATTCTACACCATAAAAGAAGTAGAAAATGAGAACACGACGGCCTCACCGGTGATACTGAAGCCATTAAGGCTGTTTGGCAACTCCAGGGCGAAGAGCCAACCAAACAGGCCTCCAATGGGGGCCACGGGCATGAGGGCCCAGCCCACCGGCTCTGGGACCTCACTGACGGCAGTGTACGCTCGTCCGTCACCCACCACGATGTAGGCATGCAGATCGATGCTGTCCAGCTGCACTGCTGTGCCACCCACCAGTACAGTCCCTCTGACCTTTCCATTTACACGATGAGGTGCACCTGAGGACAAGATGGAGACGAAATCAAAAAACGAAACTCACAATGATTTTTTGCAAGTATGTGGGCAGCTAAATAATTCTCTGAGTTGAGAACTAAATCTGAGAGGTTACAATAAGGATTAAATGTGCTGAAATTCCTAAACAACCAATAGAGAGCTGCAGGGATGACGTATTTTTGTAGGCCAGTCTGGAAGTTAGCATCACCCTGGTTCCCTCAACAGAAAAGCCAATGGGATTTTTCCATTGGCTTTTTAGGATTATTGCAGAAAAGATGCTTTGTGACCAACAAATGTTTATGATTCTTATCAAGATAATCTCCACAAATAAATACAACTTTAGGACTTGTTTTTGAGCCTGAAGCAACAGTTTAAAGTAAAAACGTCTTAATGATGAATTAGTTTTTTGCAAACACAGCTTTTTGCTTCAAAAGACGTTAACTGATGGACTGGAGTCATGTCAATGGCTTGATTATTGTGATGTTTTTATCAGCTGTTTGGACTCTCATTCTGACGGCACCCATTCACTACAGAGGATCCATTAGTGAGCAATTGATGTAATGCCACATTTCTCCAAATCTGTTCCTAAGAAGAAACAAACTCATCTACATCTTGGATGGCCTGAGGGTGAGTACATTTTCAGCAAATTTTCATTTTTTTTTAGTGAACTATTCCTTTAATTCTACAAGTCAAAACATCTACAATCTACTAGTCGGAAAGTTTTAGTTATAATAGTTTACAAGAGTGCGAGTTTGTATAAGTGCCCAGTTTAAATTTGCAGAATTGGCACAAATGGATTTTGAAACCAGTGGTGGAAAGCAAGATTATATATTATACATTTATGCATTTATACATTAAAGCTATACATTTTTTGAAATTCATGCATTAACTGGGAATCAAACCCATGACTTTTGCATTGCTGGTGCCACGTTCTACTGTCTGAGCTACAGTACGGCCTTTCCCACATAAAAAAAAAAAAAAAAAGGTATGGTATGGTATGGTATGGTATTAAAATACTTTTTTTTAATATTAGAAAGCAGCTCATAGGGGTTTGGAAAGGTTTTGTAAATACATTCATTTTGGGGTGAACTATTTCTTTCATTTACAAACTGCTCTCAAAAGCTACAATTTCTCTAGTTACTCAGCTGTTTCAGAGTGGTTTTGGATAGTTTTCCCTCTACACCACCTCCCTCACCGGCCACACAAAGCTCCTACTGTATACACAAGCATATCCAAAAGCTGAGGAAGCTTTTCCACTGAATATTTTCTCTCAGACACAAATGTCTGTCATTCAGCACAAGCCAGATGTGACGCTTTGAAACAGGGCTCAAGATTTCTTTCACACTTAGTCATGGAGTCAATGTTCGCAGGTAAATTACAGTCAAACAAGGCCAATGTGATGTCACTGTCTTGAAAAGATCCTGTTACCCATGCTCCATGAGAGCCGGCGAATGATTCACTAGGGAAATCCGCTCAGGTTTTCCAAAAGATCAAGTGTTTCCGACATAAAACCTCCCACAAAATTGGTGTGGCAGCCACAACTCTTAATAAAAAGACTGTGGAATAAGTCGTGGGTATTACCACAACCAGTTAACACATGTTTTCTCCAATTACAGACAATTAGCGGCCACTCAGCACGCAAGTGGAGCAGTCCGTAAAAGACCAAGTTTGACAGAAAAATAACTGGATGTAATTTGCATACCTAAAAGTGTGTGCCAAATCAAAATTTTATCTGCAAATTCCTTTGCATTACAAAAATATACATCTTTACTCTTAAAAAAACTGTGTTGGAAAGAGAAACACTGGTAATATATCCCCAGAGATGTACTGTGAATGTTGTTCATACTTTCAGAACAAGGTCATGTTATGTGTGGCTTTTAAAATGGCTCTTTTTACAGCATTCCCGCCCCAGTCTTACCGTTTGGCAGGCAGTGACGGCCGTTGCCGTAGAATCCTGAGTTGCAGTGACAGCAGAAGCCGGTGGAATAGTCTGTGCAGTGTGCGTTCTGACTGCACTGCTGCTGGAAGCGCTCACATGTCTCTTTATTATCGGTTGAGTAATGGATCACTGCAGGAGAGAGCAGAAAGAGAGACAAATTGCTCTTAAATAGGCTAGTAAAGTCAAACTCAGTCATAAGTCATAGGTTAAACTCCTACATAATCTTGACTTCTCTCTGGATTCACAACATTGAATCAAATAATATATGAATCAAAGTAATGGTGCATTAAAAAAATGACAGACCTACGTAATTATACTTGCATGCCCATATATGGGAATTTTAAGATTTTTGTTTTGAACTGATAACTTCTTTTTTTGCCATTTTTGGTGATTTTTGAAATGATTTTTGTACAATACTGTGTAATTAAAACTGTGTTGGTATAAATTCTTAGCAATTTATGAGTTCATTTGCTAACATTAAAGTATATTTTAATTTGCTAAGCTAAAATATTAAGCTCCGCCCCCTCAGTTATTGTTGCTAACTCAAGCTTTACAGAACATCTCATTGGAGCAAACTGGAAATTTTCCATTAACATAAACAGCTTGAAATGTGCTCTTAAGTGACAAAAATGGATGTAATATTGTTCAGTGTATAAAAATTATGGATATATTACTGAATAATTGCTAACAGCATTATTGTAGTATTACTTATATACTATTTTTTATATTTTGAATTAGCATTTTTGCTTTTTTTAAGTTTTTTTATTTTTTTACAGTTTATTTTCATTTTTACATTTTATTAATTTTATGTTGTCTTTTTTTAGTTTTTTCATTTTCCATTTATTCATTTATTTATATTAGTCTAAGGCTTTTCATGTAATATTTACGGTGCCCGAGAAGTGCAAAACAAATCACAATTCTGAAAACAAAATAACAAATTACAAACGCAAATGCAAGTCTAAAAAACAAAATAACAATTCAGAAAACACAACAACAATTCAGAAAACATTATAACAAGTCAGAAAACACAATGACAAATTCGAAAACAAAATAACATGCTCTAGTGGCGCAGATGGATAAGTGTGTGTCCTTGGCTTTTTGACGCGATCGACCCAGGTTCGATCCCGCCATTTGCCGAACTTTTTTTTTCTCCCTTTTCAAATCTCGTATTAGCAATGGATTCTATTTACACTAAGTTATTTTGTTTTTTAGACTTGCATTTGCGTTTGTAATTTGTTATTTTGTTTTCAGAATTGTGATTTGCTTTGCACTTCTCGGCCACCGTAAATATTTATATTTAGTTTTATTTCAGGTCTATTTCAATTACAGAAGATACATTTTTAGTTAAAATTACTTTTAATTAACAATAACAACATTGCTACCTAAACACACGAAACGTACTGTACATGAACAAACATTAGAAACAAGCTAAATTTACAATATTACTGAGATGGTGTATGGCAACAGTTGCTAAAGTACGATTGGTCAGTAACATTTTTAGGGCGGGGCTTAGCAAAGGTTCAATCGATATATATCAGTATTGGTTAATCATTCAACTCTCACCTCCAGAGTCAAAATCCACTTTCTCCTCAACACTGAACACTTGACCACCAGAAGCGTGAGGTGGGACATCCTTTACACGGTTCGGGTACACCTGCAGAATTGCGTGCTTTGGTAATGGCCGCTGGGGCTGGGTCACGTCCTCCGGGGGGAGATTATGGGGATCCTGCGGAGGAAACTTGCCTGGACCAGACACTGAGGGCTGAGGTGGAGACTGACCAAGGGGCACCTCCTGGTTGAGACGCTCCAGTAGGGAGGAGTCCTGCTCTGGCTCAAGAAAGTCTGTTGTGGTGGGATCTTGGAAGTCTGGATCAATGGGATCGTACTCCTCCTCATCGGTTTCTGTGTAGTCTTCATCAGGGAACACAGCAACCAGGACTGGGGGAGCTTTGGTTAAAACAGCCTCATGCTGTGCCGGAATGACATTCTGGAAGGAATATCTGTTTCCAATGTGGAAGAGCCAAACTCCAGGCTCTCCTATGTTTCCTTTTCTGAGGAGAGTTATAATATTACATTATAATATTAACATTTTAATCATGGAAATTAAAATATTTGAAAATTAATCAAAGAAATTTTTTAAATTAATGTTTTTATGTTATAATATAATATAATATATAAAATTATAATTTAATATAAAAAATATAAAATATTGTTAACATAAATTAATAAATGTATCTCAAATAATAATTTAATGTCCTGTTTTCAGTGTTTGGGGAAACATACACTATTGTAAGATTTTCTTTTTTCTTTTCTTTTTTTTAAAGAAATTAATATTTTTCGGCAAGGATGCATTAAATTTATTGAAAGTGACAGTAAAGACATGTATATTGTTACAAAAGATTTTGTAAATGCATTTTTTCCCCCAACTTTCTATTCATTAAAGAATCCTGAACAATAAATGTATCATGGTTTTCACAAAAATATTAAGCAGCACAACTGTTTGTAATATTTATAGTATATTTCAGCATCAAATCAGCATATTAGAATGATTTCTGAAGGTAAAAGTAATGACTGCTGAAAATTCAGCTTTGCCACCACAGGAATAAATTACATCTTAAAATATATAAAAGCTGAAAACAGTTATTTCACATTGTAAAAACACTTCTGTTTTTACTGGGTTTTTTAAAATTATGGTATGTTAGATTTTTATTATGAACAAACACAAATTAATAACAATATAATAATAATATAAAAAATTTTTTTATTTCTGAGTAATTTTCTGTATTATTTATGAAAGATAAGGCTATGTTTTAGATTATGTTATGTTCGATTTGAATTATGAACAAACACAAATTAATAACATTTAATAACAATCATAATAATATAATAAAAAAAATTATTTCTGAGTCATTTTCTGTATTATTTATGAAGAAAAGGCTATTTTATTTATTTATTTTGAAAATGTAAAAATGGTAATTCCTCTGATGCTTACTGGTAAAGGTTCTTGACGGACTGCTCATTGCATATATAAAAGCTGAAAACAGTTATTTCACATAGTAAAAACACTTCTGTTTTTACTGGGTTTTTTTAAATTATGGTATGTTAGATTTTTATTATGAACAAACACAAATTAATAACAATATAATAATAATATAATAATTTTTTTTATTTCTGAGTAATTTTCTGTATTATTTATGAAAGATAAGGCTATGTTTTAGATTATGTTATGTTCGATTTGAATTATGAACAAACACAAATTAATAACATTTAATAACAATCATAATAATATAATAAAAAAAATTATTTCTGAGTCATTTTCTGTATTATTTATGAAGAAAAGGCTATTTTATTTATTTATTTTGAAAATTTAAAAATGGTAATTCCTCTGATGCTTACTGGTAAAGGTTCTTGACGGACTGCTCATTGCTGGTGACACTGTAGTATGGCCCCTCTGTCCGAGAAAAGAAGAGGAAGGACAGTTCTCCTCTGGTGAAGCCAACACGAGCTGGAAGCTCAATTTCGACATTGTAAGATTCTTTGGGCCGTGTCCCAAAAAACTGCAGGCCATCCTCAGGGTATAGGAAGAGCGCATAAGTATCCTTCTCATTGTACGCAAGCACCACTTGGAATGTGTTTACCTAGAAGAAAGAAGAGCATTACTCAGGGCTCCAGAATCTGTGCAGCACTTTAGAAGGTAATAAAACTTTCAAAACATATCACCTGTAAATATTCCATTATATACTGTAAAGCTATCTAAAATAGCTTACTTAAGAACTTCCTTCTCCTTACTTTTGGACAAAGTGGTCTCTAAGAGATTTGTTTTCTGTGTACATCAATCAGTACTGGAAACCTCCTCAACCATCTAGAACATCGGCGAAATCCAAATATGGTGTTTCTAACAACTGATTTTACAAGCCTAGCAACTCACCAAATGTGCCCCCTACAAGGAGTTCCCCACATCAGTACCGTCTCTTGTCCCCTTTTGTTGTTTTTCACACCTAGTTTTACTACACTTAACAGACCACTAAAAACTGTTTGAGAGTCTAGTGTCATCCTTGCTCTTGTCAACTATGGGATCATGAAGACATTATTCATGTTATTTTACTATTATTTGTATACTATTATAGTATTTATTAGTATTAGTATTTTTTATTTCATTTTAATAAGAGTTTTAGTTATTTTGTTATGTGCTTTTGTTGCTTTTATTAGTTTTATTTTTTAAATATTTCTATTACGCTTTAATTTATTTTCATTTCAGTTTTAATTTTAGTAATACTTTTAGTAGACATATTTTAGAAACATTTGTAATTTTGGTTTAAGTTTTTTTTTTTAAGTTTAGGTTTTCCCATCTAATATTTTTATTTTACTTTATTTCTGCTTTGTTTCAATTAAAAAAAATGTCATAGTTTTAATAAACAATTACAACATTGATTCTAACTAAAGTTCACTGCCCTAATATCCTTTTCTGCAACTGCAAAACCTGGAATATATACAATATATAAAGAAGGAGGCTTGGTCCAGTTGCTGCAAAAATGGGGAAAGTTACATTACATTTTGATTGAAAATTACACAAAAAAAAAAATTTGGGACTAATTTCAGAGTAATGACAAACTGTTCCCAACACGACAATAAATGTCTATTATGACAACAAATTGGGTCTATTTTGATTTCATGTTGACTTAAAGGGATAATCCACCCAAAAATATAGATATTTTGAAGAATGCTGGTAACCAAATAGTCTCTGCTCCAAAATATCTTCTGTTGTGTTCCACAGAAGAAAGAAGTGCTTACAGGTTCGGAACAACATGAGTGTAAATAAATAATGACGTAATTTTAATTTTGGGGTGGACTATCCCTTTAAGTAAACTTTTCGAGCAAGATATCCGAATTACGTTTCAACACGGATATTAAGATGCCCTTCCCCCTTTCCAGTCTCTCACATACACACACAGAGGATGTGTGTGAAATTCCTCTCCTCTGTTTAGTAATCCAAGCTGTCCCCGACTGGAGCCATCACCTCCACAAAACAACCCCCCAATTCCAGAGAGACAATGCTGCATCTGGCTTTCAGAGAGCCTCGGGCAGCCTCATTCCCCAGCATGCATCCCTCCTGGATCCCCTCACCCAACCCTGATGCCTTCAGGTTCAAACTCCTAATTGCAGGACCACACTGCCTCGAAGCAGTGCAGAAACACACCCATAAACAAGATTGTTTAAAGATGTTATAGTACGAAAAGAAAAATTAGGACCCCACAATGAAGGGGTTTATGGACTTGAGATGGTACTACATCAATACTATTACAGTAATCATCATCATCACAACAACAATATTACAGTATTTTTTTTTCTTCATAACGCCTTGATAAATATATATTTTATATTATATATAAACTACCGGTTGAAAGTTTAGAAGAATTAAGATTTTTTGAATGCTTTTGAAAGAATTCTCATATGCTCACCAAGCCTATTTGATCAAAAATATAGTAAAAGCTTAATTTTCTGCAGCCTTTACTTCAGTCTTCAGTGTCACATAATCCTTCAAAAATCATTTTAATAAGCTGATTATTATCAGCATTGAAAACGGCTTTTTGCTACTTAATATTTTGTGAAAACCATTATATAATTTTCTTATAGGATTCTTTGATGAATATAACGCTCAAAAGAACAGAATTAAAAAAAAAATATATATAAATCATTTGTAACATTATACATATCTTTACTGTCACTTTTTTTTATCAATTTAATGCATCCTTGCCTAACAAAAGAATTCATTTATTTTTCTTTTTTAATTTTATCCCAAACTTTTAAATAGTGGTATATCACAGTTTCCACAAAAATATTAAGCAGCAAAAACTGTCTTCAACATTATTCAACAATAATTCACAATATTACTATTTGACTGTATTTTTGATCAAATAAATGCAGTCTTGGCAGCCTTTAAAAACATTACAGAATCCTAATCATTCCAAACTTTTGGCCTGTTTGTTTTTTATTTTGTTTATTTATTTTGATGAATCTCTTTCCTATATTTTATTGTTATTGTTCTATTGTACATTTCTTTCTATCTTTTATCTCATACCTTGTTTTGTGTATAATTCTTTGGCAATATTGTATGTAAATAGAATTGTGCCAATAAAGTACTTTAAATTAAAAAAAGAAATTGAATTGGTACTATGTGTCTTCCATGGAGTATCCCCTCCATAAGCCCCTACTTCTTCCATCCACAGGACGTCTGCAGACAAACAGACATCTGGGGACTGGAGGGGACACAAGATTAGATCAAGCGGTTTAAATCCCAAAGGCAAACATAAGATATCATCCAGAGATTTCTACCATTTAGACCCCCTGTGCTTCAGCGGAAACATAGTAAATCAACTCAAGGATATGCTTTCTTCAAACAAGTATAGGCAGCTAAATGTGGAATATCTATTTTTTGAACAGCCTAAATACCATACTAGTATTTAGTATATGCTTTGTGGCCTTTAGCTTTGACTGCGATGATCATGATATACCTCATAACAGTGGCTTCAGATTTGACTTCAGACATCATGTTCTGACTTAACAAAGTACTATAGTTTTTGTACAAAGGCAAACAAATGAACCTGTTTTGCAATGTATTGCAATGAACTTGTATTTAATACCTCAACCAGTATTTAATAAGTCTCAACCTTTCTACCAGTAAATCAACTCAAGGATGTGCTTTCTTCAAACAAGTATAGGCAGCTAAATGTGGAATATCTATTTTTTTAACAGCCTAAATACCATACTAGTATTTAGTATATGCTTTGTGGCCTTTAGCTTTGACTGCGATGATCATGATATACCTCATAACAGTGGCTTCAGATTTGACTTCAGACATCATGTTCTGACTTAACAAAGTACTATAGTTTTTGTACAAAGGCAAACAAATGAACCTGTTTTGCAATGTATTGCAATGAACTTGTATTTAATACCTCAACCAGTATTTAATAAGTCTCAACCTTTCTACCATTTGTCTAGCTTCTAAGTAACAGATTAACTTGGGCCAAAATGCCATGGTTTGATGGACGCACTGTATTTTATGTCAGTAACAATATATATAAAAGATTGTTTTCATCTCTTTTTTAGACAATGATAAGCATACTTATTTTTAGCAATCCTACACTCTAAAAAATGCTGGGTTAAATACAACCCAGTGCTGGGTAAAATAGGGACAAACCCAGCAATTAGGTTGTTTTGACCCAGCGGTTTGGTTACTACCCAGAAGGTTGGGTTAAACATTTAACCCAACCGCTGGGTCAAAACAGCCCAATTGCTGGGTTTGTCCCTTATTTTACCCAGCACTGGGTTGTATTTAGCCCAGCATTTTTTAGAGTGTAAATATGCATGATTATATGATTAGTTGCATTTTATTATTTGCATTTAGCATTGTTCTTTCTCTGCTGACTGCAAGCCTATCAGGAGAGATGCAACAGTTGTGAGCCACTGCCGTAGAGTACTGTGAAATTCCTGATAATATGTACTCTGAGGATACAAACATGAACATGGCCTTATGCAACCCAACCAAGAGAAGAAATGCTGCTTCTGGAACCAATGAATAACAAATGATAATACTTCATGAGCAGTGCAGCTGTTTCTGCTCAGCTGTCTGGATGAAAGAGCCAAATGTGCACTAGAGGCTTGACGAATGACCCATTCATTAACGCCCATTAGAAAACACCAAAAACACTCAGAATTCAGTTCCATCTCAGCTGAAACCACTCCACTTACACACCAACAACTGTAGACCTCTTTGATAAATAGAAAGTCAAAAGAACAGCATGTATTTGAAATAGAAATCTTTTGTAACATTTTAAATGTCTTTACAGTCACTTTTGATCAATTTAATGTGTCCCTGCTAAATAAAAATGTATTCTTATAAGCACTAGTGCACTTTTATGCACTCCAACTGGTGGATCATGACTCAAAACAGATTGCAGGGCTGTTCTGATGAACATTAGAGAAAATCAATGCTAAATGCAAATTGTGTAATTGTGTATAATTACCATAGCAAATAAATTAGAATTGCCATTTTTTTCCACTAAAAACTATTTTAATTAATGTTATTATATGTTATTGTATTATAAAATATAATCTTTATTATATTACAATATTTTATTATATTAATAGATAATATAATTAGAAATAAATGTTTGATTTTAGGGCATTTTGATAGTCATAAAGCTTGACTTGACAACACTGAATGAAAATGCTATATTGGATTACTACAAAAAGCCCATCAGACCCCTGAGAAACGCTGTGGCTTTAATCACCTAAAACCTTCCCAGGCATTTCTGTGGTATGTGAGGTGTTAAGAAGATCTAATTGCTGTGGTGACAGGGACAATTAGGAGCAGTTCAGACCCACCAATTGTTCCTGTGAATTGCAGGTAAACTGAAAAGCTCTGGGATGGATTAGCAGGTAAATGGGAGACGCTATTGTACGTTCAGACACCCTCTGGGCCTGAGATTAGGACAGAAAACAGATGACCAGCTTTGATAACCCTGGCCTAAAAGGAGCTTGGGTAAAGTCAGACCTTCAGGGTCAGATGTAGTACGACTATAAGCAGTTCACTTACCCGACTGGACGGGCTAGAGCTGCGGGTGACCTCCTCATAAGCTGACACATTCTCCCAGGTGGCGATAAAGGCATGAGTTGGGGTGAACGTGGCATCTGGAAAGCCTCTCTTGACATCCGCTTCCGCCCGCTTCAGCACGGTAGGAGACTCCGTCTGCCGGTAGACGATGGATCCTTTTCCTTTGCTGGTGTCAATGTCAGCCAGGAAGGGGGCGATGACAGGGAAGTCGGTGGGGAAGCCGTCATCTACATACTGCTTCTCCATGGGAAGATCCTGAGTTGAGATGATTCCATTGGTGGCCACCTGGAACGAGACACAAATCAGAATGAGAACTGTCTATAATGATCTAATTCTGGGGTTATATTCTAATCATTTTTTTAGAATAAAATCAGAGTTACAACTTACAGCAATAAGCTCATTTCATTGACCCCTTTGAATATAATTAATAATGAAAAAAGAACTCTTACATTTAAACTTCTAAAGAAAACTTTTAAAAACTTTAAAATTATGAAAATTCAAAAAAAAAAAAAAAAATAAAACTAAAGGAATGACAGACATTATTGACACAAGTTATACGGACGTTTAATAAAAAATTCATATAACATGATAATGAAAACATTTGTACAGTTTATTCATATTCCCAGAGGGACATGCTCATCTCAAATGAACAAGAAATCCTTTTTATATTACAATATAATTGTTTTTAAATATTTGGAAATAGACTTGGCTTAAGTTTATTACAGTTTTTCTCAATTGCTTTGGCTCAATTCTCGAATTAAACTTTTTTTTCCCGAAACAATAAGTTCAGATCTCTGAACAATTAGCTTCTTGTTCACATCAGATTGGAATTTCTTATTGATTTGAGCAAATTGCAAATGCTTTGGCACATGTGTGCAAACAGTAAGTACAATTGTCTGCAGTTTGCACAACAACTAATTGCATATGGCTTGTTGATCAAAACTGATGAGCCGATTCTCACTTAAACTGTCAAACTCTTCACAACTTCTCAAACATTTTTCATCATGTAAGCCATCACATTCAAAACGATCAATTCAATTATGAAAAATTGGTATACACGCATGTATATTCCATAAATATCTGACATTGACATTGTTTGTAATGTCTGCTAAATTGGCAAATGACCTCTAATTGCAATACAATTTGAATCAACCATTCAACCATTTAACCAATCAAGTTTGGGAGCATACTATATATGTAGATTGCCCACAGCACAATCACTAAGAATGGAGGACTTCCACAACCCTGAACTGCAGCAACATGCTCGTGGAAGAGCAATTGGAAGACGTGTAAGAATACGTGGTGGTGGTGTTAGAGGAAGACATAATAGAGGAAGAGGTGGAAATAGAAGAGTCAAGAGTCTCTGATGAAATCAGAGCCACACTTGTGGATCATTTCATAAATCGTGGTTTTACAATGGAAGAGGCTGGTCGAAGAGTACAGCCTAATGTAAACAGGTCCACAGTGTTATCAATTGTGCAAACCTTTCGTAGGGAAAACAGGTAAATTCCAGCAAACAGTTGTGACATTTGCACTCACAGTTTAGAGAATGTTAAGATTGTTTCGAAAAATGTGCCAAAGCAATTGAGAAAAACTGTAACCAAACAACACATTTTCAGAAATCAATTTTAAAATAAAGTCTGATCCGTTGTAAAAGAAAGTAAAGAAACTTTATATACTGTGTTTATACTGTGTTATATATATTCTTTTTTTAATTAATTATATATACATTAATTATAATAAGTCTTTAATTATATATACATACACACACATATAGACAGATAGACAGATAGATAGATAGACAGATAGACAGACAGACAGACAGACAGACAGACAGATAGATAGACAGATAGATACATGCAAAACAGCAGCAACAACAAAACATTAACAGGCGTTTCATGTACTCACATATAAGTTAGTGAAGGACGTCTCATAGAAGTACATTGGTTTGGTGAGCGTGGTCACTTCAGAAGTCTCATCGTCCCCTTCTTGCAGAGTTACATCGCCGTAAAACATCCCATATGGATAGATGTCATGTCTGTGAATGGCTGTGACATGCTGAGCTGTCAGTGAAAGTTGTAAAAAGAAGAGCGCTATTTTGTCCCACGACATCTTAATGAACAGCTGTACACATGCAGCTTTTATTCATGCGGCACACTCCGTCTGAATGAGTTGGAGTGCGCGGTGATGTTGGTGATGTTGGGCTACATGAAGGTGGGAAGTTTGTGATCCAGGCACTGAACGGGAGGGACTGTGGGAGGTCACGCGGACGACGATTGGCTGACGTTAAACTTATAAGACTTTGAAGGAACCATTCTTCATTTATTTAATAAAGAACGTAATCATTTATTCAATGTCGAAATTTTTTCGGAATTAGCATATTTTATAGCTCATACTTTTTTATATAATATTTATATAAATACATTTCTATGTATGTCATATAATTTGGATTATAAATATAATTATAATATAATGTAATAATAATAACATCTAATGAAATATATTAAGTGAAATATAGTATTGCTTGTTTTAAGTTTTATTTTATTCAATTATTACAATTATATAATAATTATTTTACAAAATTATTATAATTATACAATAATATATTTTATTTTGGTAAATATTCTGCTTTTTCTGCATAATCGCTAATGTTGTTTTTCCTGTTTTACCTGACAGTTTAGTGATAATTGCTTTAAAATAGATTTAATCCAATTATTAATCTAATTATTCAATCTGAAAGAGAACTAGGCTATTTTAAATCGACTTTAATCCATTTAAGGAGTGTAAATACTAGATAACAAATGGCTTAGTGTCGCAAATCACAGCTGAGGCTCGTCAAAGACTCATTCACACTGTTCAATTACTATTGTGTTCGCATTTGCATTGTGAATACTGCACAATACATACTTTATTTCCTTTGTGTATGATTCTTATATTGTCTAAATGATTTATTATGTTTGACATGTCGGTCGTGTTTGTGGTGCCATCTAGTGGCCATTCCTATATGTATATTGGACCCTGTTTGGAATGGGGACATATCGAAGCTGGAAATGAAATGAAATGAAAAAAAAAATATATATATATATTTCTCTTATAACAAATTCTTCTGTAAACAAAAGGTGCTTATAATACAAGAAAATGAAGCAATTAATCTCTCAGTGTAACTGAATCTGATCTTGAGTGACTTAAAGCATTTGCTGCTATGAGAAATTATCATTCGTTGGAAACACGGACTGTAGAGCACAGGTCAAAGTTTTGTAAGTCAGACTCAGAACAAAGTCATTGAAATGTTGGAAAATGTAAAAATTTATTTATTTATTTTTATTAATTATTATTATATTTTATTTATTTTTGGTAAGTTAGTCTTACAAAGAGTAAAAAAAATATATATAAAATTTTAAATAAAAAAATAAAAACAATAAATTACATTTTATTCCTGAAGGATTTGCTTTGTAAATATTTTTTGTTTTCTGACTGAAATAATTAATTAATACATACACAAAAAAATTAAAACAGTATCCAAGAACACTTGTTTAATTACTAACAAAAGAGTGTCCAACAGGGCAAAAGACCCCTAAGGGTGAAAGGCCACTTGGATTTTATCTTCTCTCAGATCACTGAATAACACTTTCCTAAACACCTATTTGTCAAGAAATGCAAGCAATGACAAAAGATCAAATTTGAGGTCATTTGATTTAATATCCACTAATGTTCAAAAGTTTGGGTTGGTAAGATTTATTTAATCAAAAATACAGTAAAAACTGTAATATTGTGACATATCATTACAATTTCAAACAACTGTTTTCTATTTGAATGAGCCATAACATTATTCCTTTGATGACAAAGCAGACATTTCAGCATCATTCCTCCAATCATCAGTGTCATGGTCCTTCAGAAATCATTCTAATATGATTCGGTGCTCAAAAAACATTTCTTATTATTATCAGAAAACAGTTGTGCTGTTTAATATTTTTTTTCATGATTCAGAAAGGTCAGAAGAACAGCATGTACTTGAAAAATAAATATTTTGTAACATTATAAATGTATTTGCTGTCCTTTGTGATCAGTTTCATGCATCCTTGTTGGATAAAAGTAAATATATATAGATCAGTACCTTGTTTGGCATGTAGAGGGTGCAAGATGTAAACAAATAACACCAAATCTAACTTGACCGCCATAGCTGATTTAGCTAGTAATGGGTTGCAGCAAGTAAAAGTTTTTTATCACTCCTCTACAGCTCAAATTGATCTATTATTGTTTTAAGTGACTTGTCATTTATTCATCCTATAATCATAAATTATACAATAAAGTTTCCTTGTTTTATGATTTCATTAGTGGACATGTCTTTTGTCTGCTTAAGGTAACTGGAATTTGATCATGTCCTGATGTACATGTGATGTTCCTCAATTTCAGTGAATCTGATCTAGACGTTTCAAGTTTCATGACATGTTCATAACCATGTTTGGCCTGTCAATATGAGCATGACCCAAGCTATTTGTGCTGTAACCATTTGGGCTGTAGCAGCCTAACACATTCAGTGTGTTTACATATGCTTATTAAGATCAGACATTATGGTACAGAGGGAGAGCTCTACAAATACAGACATCACTGCCATGGTAGCATCACTGCCAAATAGCTTGGGCCTAACACAAATGGAAGCTTCACAATCAAGAAAAAATGAATTTAGTTACTTGGGTGGAAATATGCCTATATATATGTGTGTGTGCGTGTGTGTGTGTGTGTGTGTGTGTGTGCGTGTGTG